AATCCCAGCACTTTGGAAGGCTGAGGTGGGCAGATCATGAGGTCAGGAGATCGAGACCATCCTGGCTAACATGGTGAAACACTGTCTCTACTAAAAATACAAAAAATTAGCTGGGCGTGCTGGTGGGCGTCTGTACTCCCAGCTATTTGGGAGGCTGAGGCAGGAGAATCGCTGGAACCCAGGAGGCAGAGGCTGCAATGAGCCGAGATCGCGCCTTTACACTCCAGCCTAGCGACAGAGCAAGATGGAAAGGAAAGGAAAGGGGAAGGAAAGGGGGAGGAAAGGGGGAGGAAAGGGCGAGGAAAGGGGGAGGAAAGGGGGAGGAGAGGAGGGGAGGGGAGGGGAGGGGGAGGGGAGGGGAGAGGAGAGGAGAGGAGAGGAGAGGAGGAGGAGAGGAAGTTCCAAAAGTCTGAGTTTGGTGTTGAGAAGCTGCAGGAAGGCCAAGTTGTGGCCGTGAAGTGAGCCTGGGAGTGAGTGGACCAGGATGAGGCCACAGAGGCAGGAGGTGGCAAGGGCTGCGGATGTCACCCTCAGGGCTGGCAGGCTGTCAGGCTTTGCCTGGTCTGGTTTTAAATTTCCATGTGAAATATTTAAGACAAATAGGAATAAGGACTAATACAATAAAGTCTTTTGGCCAGGCATGGTGGCTCACACCCATAGTCCCAGCACTTTGGGAGGCAGAGGCAGAAGGATCACGTGAGGCCATGAATCCAAGACCATGCTGGGCAACATGGTAAAACCCCATCTCTACAAAAAATGTATGTTAGCTGAGTGTGGTAGTGCATGCCTATAGTCCCAGCTACTCAGGAGGTTGAGGTGAGAGGATTGCTTGGACCTGTGAGGTGCAATCCCAGCACTTTGGGAGGCCGAGGCGGGCAGATCATGAAGTCAGGAGATCGAGACCAGCCTGGCCAACATGGTGAAACCCCATCTCTACTAAAAATACAAAAACTAGCCAGGCACGGTGGTGGGCATCTGTAATCTCAACTACTCAGGAGGCTGAGGCAGGAGAATCACTTAAACCCAGGAGGCGGAGGTTACAGTGAGCCAAGGTCATGCCATTGCACTCGAGCCTGGGTGACAGAGTGAGACTCCGTCTCAAATAAATAAAATAAAATAAAATAAAATAAAGCCTTGTGTATCTACCACCAGGCTTAAGAAATACAACATTCTGGGTGGGCACAGTGGCTCATGCCTTTAATCCCAGCACTTTGGGAGGCCGAGACGGGCAGATCACAAGGTCAAGAGATTGAGACCATCCTGGCTAACATGGTGAAACCCCGTCTCTACTAAAAAATACAAAAAATTAGTCGGGCCTGGTGGTGGGTGCCTGTAGTCCCAGCTACTTGGGAGGCTAAGGCAGAAGAATGGCGTGAACCCGGGAGGCGGAGCTTGCAGTGAGCTGAGATCGTGCCACTGCACTCCAGCCTGGGCAACAGAGCGAGACTCCGTCTCAAAAAAAAAAAAAAAAAAAGGAAATACATTTCTAGCCAGGTGTATTGGCTCATGCCTATAATTCCAACACTTCGGGAGGCTGAGGCAGGTGGATTGCCTGAGCCCAGGAGTTTCAGATCAGCCTTGGCAACATAGTGAAACTTTTTCCCTAAAACGTAAAAAATGGGCTGGGCATGGTGGCTCACACCTGTAATCCCAGCACCTTGAGAGGCTGATGCAGGTAAATCACCTGAGGTCAGGAATTTGAGACCAGCCTGGCCAACATGGTAAAACACCGTGTCCACTGAAAATGCAAAAATTAGCCAGGCATGGTGGCGCCTGCCTGTAATCCCAGCTACTCAGGAAGCTAAGGCAGGAGAATCGCTTGAACCCAGGAGGCAGAGGTTGCAATGAGCCAAGATCTCGCCACTGCACTGCAGCCTGGGCAACAGAATGAGACTCTATCTCAAATAATAATAATAATAATAATAATAATGAATAAGAATAAAAGATAAACATTCCCAATATAATCCCAGTGGCACCCTGGCCCTTGTCTCAGCCAGCTTTTGAAGCCTGCACTGTCCAGAGCGCAGCACCAGTCGCTGTGATGAAGTGTATTAGGCTGGTGAGAAGAGCATGATGGTAGCTTGGAGCTACCAGGATGGCGGCCATGGAGCTCAAGAGGAGATGAATTTGGGACACACGCATTCTGGGTGAAGAGTCCGCAGGGTTTAGGGGTGGAAGGGGGTTGTCGAGTGGCCAGTAGTGGTGGAAGACTGAAACGGGGCCAGGTTTTGGGAGCGACGGTTTACCGTGTGCAGTGGCTTTGAACGTCCAAATGCAGATGTCTACCCCACGTCAGATCCTGAGTCTCCAGAGAGAGGGCAGGCAGAGCTGGGTGCATGAGACGGTGAACGCTGGTGACAGGTTGAGTTGTGAGGGTGGGCAAGACCGCCTGGGCCAAGGGCATGGAAAAGGAGAGAGTGTCTCAGCCCTGGCCCCAGCAGCCCTACAGATGGGAGAGAAGCTGAGGAGCGGATGAGGGGGACTGGCCAGAGAGCAGGAGCAGCAGGGGAGGGAGGCTGGCTCATAGCCAGGACAGGGAGCTCTCAGCAGAGTTGCTCCTCCACTTGGCTTCCCTCCCTCCCCAGGCAGCAAGGGCGAAATCTCCTCCAGGGCCGGGTAGAAGGGGAGGTGCTGGGGAGGGGCCAGGAGCTGTGCTGGGCGGGGGTCAGGGAAGTTGCGGCAGAGGTGACCTCGGCACAGCCCAGGTGTGATCATCATCTGGCCCTCATTCCTGCACTCCAGCCTGGGTGGGGCTGGGGCTGGGGGTGAGGTGGTGGTTGCTGCTCCCCCATCCCATTGCGTCATCCTCAGCTGTCAGCAAACAAGACTCCAGGAGCTGGGGCTGCTGGCTGGTGGGGGGTGTCTCCCAGCACCTTGGGGGATGGGGGCTCATGTCCCCCACTCACACACACACACACACACAGGATTTCCCTGGGATGCTCGGCTGGACCCAGCAGGTGCCCCCTAAAGAAGTGGCGCGGGAGCAGGGAGGAGTGAGGAACAGTCAGGGCTGAGTTAGAGCCCCACTCCCTCGCTTATCCAGCGGAGGCCACTGGGTGGTATCGCCTGCTGGGCCCTCCTGGGACTCCAGCCCGAGACTCACACGCGGGGAACGAGCAGCCCTGCCTTCAGCGGCGCCGCTTGGAAGCGGCCCAAATGCCCATCCACGAATGGCACAGCACACAGACAGAAAAAGCCAGGAGGGAGCTCTGTGAGGAGCAATGTAGGTCTTCAAGATGTATTTTTAAGCAAAAAAAGGCAACAGTGATGAGCGGTGAGTATAGTAGCTACCATTTGTGTAAAAAAGGAGAGAGAAGAAATTTATAGATACACATATTTGCTTGTCTCTGCTTGTCTGTGGATGGTGACCCAGGAAGCTGGTGACATTGGCGGCTCCAGGGAGGGAAAGCAGGTGGCTGGGGACAGGGTGGGAGGAAGAACTGTCACTGTATTCCCGTTTGTGTCTTTTTGAATTTTAGAACCGTATGAACGTATTACCTGTGGGGAAATGCACATGAAGAGTTTTAAAATTAATGTGTACACATGCATATTTTCCAGAGAATGGTCATAGCATTGATAAGGTTGTCAAAAAGGACTGTGACCCCGAAAGTCTGAGAACACTTCACCTATGGGCTGCGTGGCTTTGGGAAAATTTCTTAACCTCCCTGAGTCACATCCGTAAAATGGGAAGGAATAACACCCAGCGTACAGGCATGCTGCCAAGGCGAACAGTGTGGGCAGGGGTTTGTAAACTGTAAAGTGCAGAAGACTTTCTTTTTTTATTTTTTGAGGCAGGGTCTCGCTTTGTCACCCAGGCTGGAGTGCAGTGGCACTATCACGGCTCACTGTAGCCTTGACTTCCCAGGTTGAAGCGATCCTCCCGAATAGCCGGGACTTCAGGTGTGTGTCGTCGTGCCTGGCTAATTTTAAAATTTTTTTGTAGAGACAGGCCCTCCCTGTTACCCAGGCTGATCTTGAACTCCTGGGCTCAAGTGATCCTCCTGCCTCGGCCTCTCACAGTGTTGGGATTACAGGCGTGAGCCACCATGCCCGGCCTGCAGCCCTTCTTGAAGGGGATGACTTACTCTCCACTCTTCCTCACCTCTTAGTCTCCCCTCAGCCCCCTCCAGGGCTCCTCTGCGCCCCCTTCCCTCTCAGCAGCTCTGATGGAGGCTCTGGACTGACCCTCGTCTTTCTCCTTGAGTCCTCCAGGCCTGAGGGTCCCTCTCCAGGTCGCCCCTTGCTCTCCTGCCTCTGGCCTCTCCATGCCCCTACACCGTGCCGTGCCCAGCTCAGCCAGCCCACCTCCCTTCCCTTCTCCCCAGTCCTCCCTGTGATCTCATCCAGTCCTGTGGCTTAAAATACCACCCGGCCTGCGCCTCCCCCCCAGGCAGCCACAAGCCCACTTGGCTCCGGCTCCCTGTGTCTGCTGGACAGTAAAGAGGCATCGCGAACCCGGTACTGCCAAGCCCAAGCCATGCCCCTGTCCTCCCCTCTCCTGCCTTCCCCATCTCAGTCTGTGACTCCTCCCAGGAGGTTGCTCAGGCCTGACATCTGGGCGTCATTCTCCAGCCTTCCCTAAGCCCAACCGCAATAACAGTGGGATAATAACTAACACGCACTTAGTGTTCACTGAGGGCCAAGCACTCACTGGTCCACACCTGCAAGGCAGGTGCTATTATCATCATCCCACAGCGGACTCGGGAGCTTGCCCAAAGCAGGTGAACCTCGGGGCCCCGGATGCATCCCCTCACCCAGTCATCCATCCCAAAGAACCACATCACTATTGCAGCCCGCAGCCTCTGCCTGCCGCCTCCTCCCACAGCCTCCACCCACCTCCCGCAGTCCATCTCCACATCACTCCCTGATCAGAGCTCTTGGTCTCCCCAGGGCACTCGGGATGAATGCCTGGCCTCGGGGGAGGTCCTGCCCTCTCTGACCTCACCCCCTCCACTCCCCATCCACCGGAAGAGACCTTCCTTCCCATCCCTTTAACGCACCAAGTTTGTTCATATCGATGGGCCTTTGCACTGGCTGTTCTTTCTGGTTGAAATTCTCTTCTCCAAGACTCCACCACTGGGGCCTTCCTGCCATTCAGATCTTGACTCAAAGGCTGCCTGTCCCAAGAGGCCCCGAGGCCCGCCCTCCCCATCCAGCTCTCAGATCTTCCTGGCAGCCCTCAGCAGCCAAAGCAGTTTCATTTGCAACCTCATTAAGGGCAGGAACCTTGCCTCCCTACTTCACCCCAACTCCCAGAGCCTGGCACAGAGTACTGCTTCATAAACATCTAACGACTGACAAGATAACCCAGCCCGTCACAATTCCTGGGAAGGGTCTAACTGGGCCATGTGACAGATCGTGACCAAGGAGAAGCTATTTTTGACACAGTAGTCAGGGAGAACTTCCCAGTGGAGGTGGCCTCTGAGCAGTGACCAGACGACCCTCTGTGTCACTGTACACAAGCACAGTGGCCATGAACAGAGGGGAGAGAGGACAGGATGTCAGAGGGCTCAAGTCTCTGCCTCACCCTCCACGGAGCATGGGCTTCTCTTCCCAGGTGTCCCCCAGGTGTCAGGGGCTCGGGGGAGGATGTCCTGGCTTCACCCAAGGATGGGTGGCAGGGACATGTGTACAGGACCTAGTGGGAGAAGGCACGGCAGACAGAGGCCTCAGAAGGACCAGAGACAGCAGGAGGAAGAGTCAGCCCCTGCCCATGACCCAATGCTGGGCCACAGCCCCAAGGGACTGTCACTAACAGAATGCCTGCCATGGGGGGGCCATGGGCTGCGTGCACCTCTTTACTTCTGACCACCTCCCCACTGGCTCCTCAGGCCAGAGAATCTCCAGCTCCAGCCAACCCCCATCCATCCATTCATTCATCACCCTAAACGTCCCCTGAGCTGGTATAGGATCTGCCTTCCTGCCAGGTGCCAGATGTGTCTCAACACAGCAGAGTGCCTTGCCTCGGAGGGCGCTCTGTAAATAATTGAGTGAACATTTATTGAGCACCTACTGTATGCTGAAGGGAAGCAGGTAAGTCACAAACCTGCTTTGCTGAGCTCCATGCACCCATGTGTGCATGCATGGGTGTGTGTGCGTAAAAAGGCCTAGAGAGAAGGTCCCAGGAAGATGGGGGCAAGCAGGAGAGCACAAGGACAGAGCAGGGCTGGGCCTGGGCTGAGCGGAAAGCAGAGAATTTGGCCCGGCCTGGGATCTAGGCCCTGGGGAGAGGTGGTGACTCTGGAGGAGCGTGGGGCCCTGGACCTGGGTGGTCCACTGAGCAAGGGACAGGCTACTTCTGAGGGCAGGACAGCAGCATCCTGGAAGTCGTGACACTTACATCTTTAGGAACCAAACATCCAGGGAAATAGGAACCTGTGCATCAGAGCTCTATGGGGCACCTCCTGGATTTCTATACAGGACAGTAGCTTTCAAGCTTTTTGACCAAAATCCGCAGTAAAAGCAAACATCCTGTTTGTTATTTTAACGTACTTTATATTTATTTTTTAGATATAGAGTCTTGCTCCAATGCCCAGGCTGGAGTGCAGTGATGCGATCACAGCTCAGTTGCAACCTTCTGGGCTCTTGCCATCCTCCCGCCTCGGCCTCCCAACGTGCTGGGATTACAGGCGTGAGCCACTGCACCCGGTTATATATTTAAAGCTGAAGTAAGAGCGTCACAAAATAGTATTTACCCTCACTACATGCATAGTATTTTGAAATTTTCTTTTTAATTTCATTTTCAGAAAACAAGTAGTGTGACTCACTAAATCAATTTCCCAGCCCACTAATGGGGCAGGACCTGTGTGCAATTTTTAAAGCACTGGCCTGAGTGGGGGTTAGGAGCTGTGAAACGGGATCCAGCGTGTGTCTTGAAGCTGTGACTGGAGGTGCTTGGACCCCGGGCTTTGTGACGCACAACCATGGGGGCAATTGTTGGATGTAATGGGCAAATACTGGGAAAAGTCTGTTAGACCCCCCAGCTCACAGGACTGCCACTCTGCAGCCCAAATAGCAGGGATTCTTTAGGTTCTGGGTCCAATTTATTCCCCTGGTCTTGTATTAGAGCCCCGCCTGCCCCCCTAACAGAGGCCATTGAGCAGTTGCTTACACATCTCCCAGGACAGGGCGCTCACCCCCGTTCGCAGGCAGCCTACTTGACTGTGAGGAGTAGGCTCTGCCCGGCTGCTGATGTAGCTGCCAAGCGGAGACCCTCCCGTGGCTGGCTGGTCGTTCTCCTCTGTCCTCTAGCCTGTTGTCTCAGGGACCCAGGACAGCTCTGGCAAGCGGTTCTCTCTCTGCCCCACCCAGTTCTCTCTGCTGCCCAGCCACTACCCGGTATCTCTTGGGGGCAGCCTTGGAGCCCAGCCAGAGAGAGGCCCTTTCCAAGGTCAAGTGGGCTCAGGCTCTGCAGCCTCATGACGGGGCTGGCACTCAGCCAGCCCTGCCCCACCCAAGCAGTTCTGGAGGCCTGGGGGAGGGAGGGCCGGGGGAGGCTTGGCTGTTCAGAGAAGTGATACCCCACAGCAGTGGCTGGTGATGGGGGTCTGGAAATCAGGCCCATCAGTGCCCTTGAGTGGCTGGGCCACAGAGTAGTTCATATCAACAAGCTGTGATACATTCATTCACTCACAGGCTCACAGGATCTTCCCAGTCACCCTAAGAAACAGACACAAAGGGCCAGGCGCAGTGGCTCATACCTACAATCCCAGCACTTTGGGAGGCTGAGGTGGATGGATCACACGAGGTCAGGAGTTCAAGACCAGCCTGGCCCACATGGTAAAACCCTGTCTCTACTAAAAATGCAAAAATTAGCCCGGCATGGTGGTGCGCACTTGTAGTCCCAGCTACTCGGGAGGCTGAGGCAAGAGAATCACTTGAACCAGGAGGCGGAGGTTGCAGTAAGCTGAGATTGCGCCACTGCACGCTAGCTTGGGCAACAGAGCGAGACTCCATCTCAAAAAAAAACAAAGGAAAGAAACAGAGGCAAAAGTCCACCCTTACGGGGCAGGGGATGAAGGCTCAGAGGTGAAAAAGCTGCCCCAGATTCCACAGCTGCCCAGGGGTGGAGCTGGACAGGAACCCAGATCTTCTGTGTCCCAGTCATGGGCCTTACCTGGGACAACTGAGGCTGGAGGAGCCTTGGGGTAGGGGAGGGGGAGGCGGGCCACTCCTCCTGTCTTGCTGAGAGCAGGCTGGGTCTCTCTGCCCCAGAGGCAGGGCGAAGGACAGAGGGAGGCAGGGATCAATCAGCAGAGCCTTCTAGACGGGAGTGGGCTTCCCCGGAGATGGGGAGCTCCCCGTGAGGAACAGTGAGGAGGGACTTGAGGCCCATTTGTCAGGATAACTGCAGAAGGGTATCCATGGGCACGAGGTTTGAACGATGCCCAAAGCCCCTCTGCCTGCTCCATTTCACCCCCAGCCAGGGCCCCTCCAGCCCGTGCCCACCACCTCCCCTGTATGGCCCCAAGGAGCCCCTAATTGCCGACCCCATCCCATCTGTCTCCCAGGCTGAATGGTACCTTCACACTCACAGGGCAGAGGGTCCTGGGCTTCTCAGGCCTATGTGGAGAGGGGAGGCTCCTGGGGGAGTCTAGGGTGGGGGCTGGAAGAGGAGCTGCAGCGGGGTGGGGAAAGCTTCACTGAGGTGTCCCAGGGGCTAACTCTGCCACCAGCTTGAAGATGGGCACGCCCTTCACCTAGGCCTGAATCTCCCCATCAGTAAAATGGGGTCAGCTCCCCACAGCACACGCACCCCTGACCCCATGGCCTAGCTAAAGAACCCTCCTGGCCGGGTGCAGTGGCTCACCCCTGTAATCTCAGCACTTTGGGAGGCTGAGGCAGGCAGATCACAAGGTCAGGAGTTCAAGACCAGCCTGACCAACACGGTGAAACCTCGTCTCTACTAAAAATACAAAAATTAGCCGGGCGTGGTGGCAGACGCCTGTAGTCCCAGTTACTCAGGAGGCTGAGGCAGAAGAATCACTTGAATCTGGGAGGCGGAGGTTGCAGTGAGCCGAGATTGCACCACTGCACTCCAGCCTGAGAGACACAGTGAGACTCCATCACAAACAAACAAACAAACAAAAAACAAAAAAAAACCCTCCCATCCCTGCAGCCTAGGTCGCTGGCGCATGAGCTTCTCCCAGGACAGGCAAAACAGGAAAAGGCTGAACACGCCCCCCTATCCCCATGGGTGGCCCCCGATACACAGAGGGGCAAAGAGAGGCCCCCAGATGAACAGTAGCCTAGCCGAGGTCATGCGGAGCCAGTGAGGGCTGAGCTGGGATTCGATCCCAGGCCCCTGACTCAGGCCACCCTTCCTACTGCTGTGACCAGGGACCGCTGCCCTTCCCCTCGCTCCCATCTGGGGATTTTCTTGGGAGAGGGCGCTGAAACAGGCCCAGACCCTGCTCCCCTCCCGCAAACCCCATAGTTCTGGGGAGTGTCAGAGAGAGGAGGGGCCGGCAGCCCTGGGGGCCATCAGGACACAGAAGAGTCAGGAGCAGCTCCGGGTTGACAGGCTCTGCCACCATTGCTGTGTGACCCTGGGCAAACCCCGGTGGTCTCTGGACTCGGTTTCTCCATCTCCCAGGAGAGGTAATGGAGATAAGGCCAATGCAGGGGCAGACAGGAACTGCTGGGTGGAGCTTGGTGGGGGCTTCTCCTCCATCCCAGTCCCAGGGAGCTCCTCTGCCCAACTGCACCTCCCATGCCCCATCTCCCTTCTGCCCTGCTGGGGGCCTCCCACTGGGCCCGCACAGGCCTAGACCAAAGCTCCCAGCTGATAGGTCACCATGACAACGCTGCCTTCTCCCTTCACAGCTCCTGCTGGGGTCGGGAACACCAAGGACCCCCTTCCCTGGTAGCCCCTAAAGACCTCTTGACCTGCCAATGTCTCTCTGGAGCACCTCACCCTCCCCTGCCTGCTGAAGCCAGACGTCCCAGCTGTTGGCAGCAGGGCTGGTCAGGGACCGGCCAGCAGCCACAGGGAGGAGTGGGTGAGCTGCTGCAGGGAGGGAAAGGGGAGGCCCAGGCTGGCAGACATGTACCCGCCTCCCTTCAGGTGGCCAATGAGGGTCCTGGAGGGGCTGGCTCTGGGTGCACAGTAGGACAAAGCATACGTGGTTGTTTCTACCCAGGGGCCTGGAACCAATCCTTGCTTCTCTCTGAGCCTCAGTATTCTCATCTGAGAAGTGGGGGTGATGGTTCTCCCAGGGTGCTGGAGAATTAAGTGAAATCATGAATATGAACCCCAGTGCAGAGCCTGGCACTCAGCCTCCCTCCTGCAGCAATACCCCAAGAACACTGCTCTCACCCCAGCCACCAAGCACCGGCACCAGCCATCTGAGCAGCCCTCATGCCTGCGCATGCGCATGTGCCTGTGTCTGTGTCTGTGCCTGAGCATGCACGCGCAGGCTGAGAGGGGGCTGTGAGCAGGTGGGGCAAGGGGTGCAGAGGGAGGGGCAGGGGCCACACCCTAGCACTCCTCCCCACCAGTTTCCCAGCTTGTGTGGTCTTAGAATCAGGCAAAACCCAGCCATTCAAATCCAGCCTGTTTCCAGCCAGCCACTTCCCCTTGCTGAGCCTCAGTTTCCCCTTCTGTAAATAAGAACCATCTATGTCCAAAGTCTTCCAGGTTCATGACAGAGACCCCGTGTTGGGCTGTGGGGCCAGGACTGGTCAAGACCTTTGGGAGTGGGGGGCCAAGACCAGAGCAAGCCGGAGCGTGAGCCCACCCCTGCTCCCCATGCTGCACCCCACCCACCACCCCGTGAGCGCCTGTGTGCGCGCCTGCAGGAGCGCGCGTGTGTGACTCAAGGTCTATTCATAGCCGAGCTCCACCAGCTGCAGCGTCACAAGCAGAGGGGCCTCAGCCCATATTATTATTTCAATTACCATCTGAATTAAAAGTTTGAGCAGCGATCAGCCCACGTAGCAAGGGGAAGAGGGAACAGGAGAAAAATAAAGATGAAAAGGAGAAGGGCTG